GAATGATCAAAACTACGTGATAACTAATTAGACGTGATAATTGGGAATTACTATCTAAAAGAACTTGTTCATATCTATTTCTAACAACTATGATACATGTTGCTTTTATACAAATCCAAGATATAATTTTTAGGCTATACGAATTTATATTCGTTATATCACTTAAATTCTATTAATTCAATATTCATTCGCTCGTTCATTTAGTTATTCATTCATTCACTCATTCGCTTGTTCGCTCGCTTATTCGTTTGCTTCACATAATATGATCTTTATCCAATAATAAAATATTATGACGAAAAATCATTATACAACAATAAGTTGATAGTGCTTCTATATTAAATATTATATACTTATAAACTTTTATATAACAAATATAATCAGTTATTTTATAATACATATCTCAATATTCAATAATCTAATTCTTAATATTCAGTAATTTGATCTGAACAAAAATATTATTATTCAATTTGTTTCAACTAGACAAATCGAATAGTAGTATTTTTGTTCAAATCAGATTACTAGATATCAAAATATTGCATCTTAAAGTAGCAACTTCATTTTTTTCGACATTAACAAAAATTAATCAACAGTCAATTTAGAATATGATATCTTGATCTCTAATGATTTGATTTGAACAAAAATAATACTATTTGATTTTTTTAGTCAATGTAAATTGGATTACTGGAGATCAAAATATTATATATGTTCTAAATTAACTGATTCATTTTTTTGGCAATCATTTCTAATAAAAAATTGATTGTCAAATATGATTAGTCACTTTATGACATAATATCTCAACATCTAGTGATTGAATTTGAATTTGAGTGAACATACCACCATTTGATTTGTCTAAATTAGATAAATCAAATAGTGATATTTTCACTCAAATTCAATCACTAGATGTTAAGATATTATGTCATAAAGTGACCAATTTATTGTATTTGAGCATGAAGTATATGAACATACAATATCCAATATAAATTTATAAAAAAGTATCAATGATCAGCATTTGTAATATTCTTTGTACTCAGAAAAATTTGGTGTATTACACATGATTTACGAAAAGTTGGGGGGGGGGGGTCGGATACTTTTGGCCACGACTGTAGAACGAGTTGTTCTGAAGATATTGGATTGTGTATCTTACTTCATATTTGAAGATTTGCACAGCTTTCTTGGAGATATATAAATCTTTATAAAACAGGATTAACTGATAAACTTGCTGAATATGGTTGAAACGTTATAAATCACATAAATGTATACCTAAAAACGTCGTAGAGGAGCTAACGAAGGAAATTGAAAAAAAAGTAATAAATAATTTTTTGTTTTTAGTATGAATTTATATTTGTGTAACCTGAAATAAAATTTATCGATTACACAAAAGTACCTCGTTGAGTTTTATTTTAAAAAGGAATTTATTGGTATAATTTTTACTTAAACTAAGCTTGTAGTTCATTTGCTATAAAGATTCTCTACTGTACAAGCTTTTTTTCCTTGTTTTGTTTATTTTTTGAATTTTTGTGTTACACGTTGATCTTGCAATTTAATTGCTAACATAATAAAAAAATATCACGTGGACCGAACTTTGGGGGTCGCTAAGACGTGTAATAGAAGTTGCAATCTTATTACATTTCTCGTCATTTGACTTGCTTTTTCTTGTATACAGCTCCAAACCCACCTGATATTTGTTGAATTTGTATAAGCGACTTTAACTGTATTAACTAACAATACTTTAATATTCAAAGCTTGTGAACGGTTTTCATTTGTTATTTTGATTAATATTTTGGGTTAATGTTGAGTGGATGAAGGACTAAGTGATGTGGGAAGTGGAATCACAATATTTGACTCAAAGAATCACTTTTTCACTTTCACTTTCAGTTGTAGATTGTTGTTTTGTTTTGTGTATTTAGGTCGCGTTTTAAATGATTTTAATTCCAATTTAGGAATAAACATAAAGAACAAATTTGATACATGTACGTATTAGAATTAATGTTAAAGATTTTCATGGACACAACTAAAAATAGCATTAGTTTAACATAAATCGATTTACGACAATGTTATCGTTATACATGTTCATGTATATTCTTCAATTTCATTGTTATTATTCCATAATCGACTTTTTGTACGTATATTGTATGATTATTATGGAATTACGTGTAACTATGAAATATTACTACGGTAAATGAACACAACCAAAATTGAACATGTACGTATTCCGTTATAGAACGTGAACGTGCACAGATTGTTTCTATTGGTTCTATAGAAGATTGTTTTTGTAGGAGACTGTTCCTTCATAGTGTGCTTTGCATGGGTTGCAAAAATAATTGTTTCATTTTATTAATTAACGTTTCGTTGTGAATGTTATGTAAGACAGCATTTAGTGAATCAAGTTAACAAACGAACTTATAAATAACGCAAACTACACTAAATGGTTGTTGATAAAACCCCGACGGTTAGTAACCATCCGATTAATTTAACTCTTGCGGTTCCTAAAAATAATATATAACAACATACAATTGTGAATCTATGGCGTCCCCAGTGGTGGTCTCCAAATGGAAAAAAGCTTATTGGGGCTTTATGTATTTTATAAACTGTTATGCTTGCGGGACTAGTTTGTATTTAATTTATTATTTTTATGTTCAAGTGGGTATTTGAATTTTTTGATATTTCTTGCGTTGTTCATATTACTCATTGTCTCATTTTATATGCTGGTACCTGTAGGCATTTCGTAGAAAAAACACCGAAGTGAACAAAACAATTTTCCTCGTTTTCACAATTGCCGAAGTACTTCCACGATTCATGGTTATCTACAAAATCAGGGAATACACTAAACTGACTTTTTCGAATTGCATTTTTCTCTTCATGGGTGAGTCATTTTTGCAAGTGAACATTTGGTAACCCATCCAAATAGCTAATCTCATACGATGGATTTTATTTCAGGCAAAGAATATTCGTACTATCTGGATAAAGCAGATGAAATAACACAAGAGCAGATAGATGCCATTGGAAAGATATCCACATGGTTTTCTCTTATCCAGTTCTTTCTGATGTGTTATCTCGTCAATGTCTTTACCGAACAAAACAATCAAAACACTGATTCAGCAGACAAGGTAAATGAAAAAGCTGGGAAAATACTTTTGTCGTTAATTGCAATAGCAATCTTTCGCTTCATTAAAGCCTGCTGGATGCTTCTCAAATCGCTTTATCGTTGCTGCTGCGCCAGTGATATTGATAATGGTGTTCGTGAGAACGTGTAAATAATGCCATTACAATCCTTTGATAGTCTAGAATTAGATACAATCTTTATGTACAATAGTAACCAAAATTTTATTTAATGCTATATTATAATAGTTAGTTCAAAAAATCAATACCGATATATAAATACTCGTAGATTGTGCATGCAATCAATGTTTTCAGTGAATTTTTTATTGTAATGCATTAATGATCAAGAAAAAGTGAAGACTACTCATCAAGTACGTAACTAAATTTTGGGTAAAAGTATTCATTTTAGATGATCGTTCTGAAAAAAAAGATATTCTAGGCTAACGCTAATTTTGGACATATTAATAAATTGTGTCACTGTGTACGTACGATAAAAAGAGTACATATATGGGAAGTGTCTTTGTACACATGTCATAAGACATGTACATGTACGTATTCGGAATTTTGATACAGAAAAATTCCTGATAATTTAGTCACGTATCCTTTATAACCTTTATAACCCATAAAATCAAGCATTTTACAGAATTTATTAGTAATTACATTTATTCTTACACTTTCTCAATAAAATTTGTTGCAGAAAATATAAGGTAGACATGATCTCATATTATTAAAAATAATACAAGTGACTCTCATTATAGTAAAGGCATCCGTACCATTAGTAAAAAATCTTCAAAAATTAACTATATCGAGAGTTTATTAATAAATTTACTATAGCGAGAGGATTTATTATAGACTGGTTTTGGACGAACTTTACTATATCAAGAGTTTAATTACTCTTTAATATAACGAGAGTCACTTGTATTAAATTATTCTATTATTTTATCATAGGTTGTTGTTTATTATATTACATGTACAAAGAACATGGTTATAATTCTGAAATTTTTTCATTGTTCAATCAGTAAATATATAATTTTAGTTATAGTGATACGTGGTTGTTTACATTTTTTATAATTTAATGATATTTTTAATAAGATTATATACAAATATATCCTAAGTAGATTTGTTCTTCATATCAAGAAACATATACACGTAATTACTAATTTTCACGTGAGTCTAGTCATATAAAAAAAGTAAAAAATACCGGATCTTTGTGGCGACCACTGTGTATCTTTCGTAACCTGTTAGAAAATGATTTGTAATTCAACTCCACTAGCAGATACATACGTACAGTACTGTTTGTCATTGTTAATCAATAAAATGCAGTGTGCTTGAATATAAAAAATTCTTGGCAAATCTTAAAGTTTAGAACAGAATTATGAAATTGTTTTAAATTTTATAAGAATCAATAAAGGAAAATAATGTGATATCTCAATATTTATTTAACAATAAAAGCAAGATCTTTGAGTGGTTTTCGAAATTGGCAGAAGGTGAAGATAGTAAAGAACTACGCAATTTTAGCTTTTGTTGTTAAAATGTTATTGGGACGCAAAAAGGTAGAAAAAAGCTTTATATGAATTGGTGACACAAGTTTATTAGAGAAAGAAGTATTGAACAAATTTCACAAACAACTTTCCTAGAGACGGTTTAACGTTAAGCCAAGTTTTATTTGCGACTGTGTATATAATCTTATACATAACAAACTTAGAATATTAAATGTCTCAAATTAATAATTTAACGTCACGATCTTTGTCAAAATTATTATTTATTTTTAATGCTGGCCGAAATTATATTTTAAATTTTTATCCAAATACAGTCAACCTCCCATAAAGTCACCTCTCTTATAAGCACACCAACGGTTGAAACCATTTATTAATAAACTTATAAAAAAATACCTATAAGCACAACCTCTTCATAAGCACATTTTTTTTAAAAAAGCACCGAGGACGTGATTATGGGGAGGTTGACTGTACGTATATATCCAAATGTTTGTGATTTCAAATAATATTTACGGGTTCCTGGACGTGAGTCCCACGTAGTTGGCGAAGAAATGTGATATAATGTTGAGCATCACCAATTTTTTGCCATAAGAGGTGACAACCAAGACACTTCTTTTACTGACCGTATCATTATATCGAGTTTATCACTAAAATTTGTAAAACTATTTTTTGCTTTTGAGCTATTCGAACACGCTCCATTTTTCGCCAAACTAGTAAACATATAAATAAGGTATGGAGGCACTTGCCAACATTCCTCATGAAGACTTTGATGCGTATGTCATTGGTAACAATAACCACGGGAACAAAAAAGAAGTCGATTAACGCCGATACAAAATCTCTACAGGAAGTCTGTGATCACTCGAGCTGCAGATATTTATAGGCTTGGGATGGTTATGTACGAGATTTTAACGGGGAACAACCATTCGGTGAGCGGAATCATGATATATATATCTTCTATACGACATTTATAAATAAGCATGACCCAAAATACCAACTGATGTTCCTGGATGGTGCAAATTTATTATTAGGATTCTATTTCAGAAAATAGACCATCTTCTGAGGAACTTTGGGAGTATCTATCTGAAAATCAGATCAAACTGAATGCTTTGTATTTGCAGTACTACTACACTTTAAAAAATCTTAAAACACATGTCTTAAGTTAGAAAAGGATATATTAGACAAACTTGACGAGGAAAAACAGGAAAAATACTAATATAAACAAATTCATCCAAATGCAGTTTACAACACTTTAATATTTATTACAATATTAATTTCAATTACAACTGATACAGTAAATTTATTCTAAATATAAAACATAGTGACATCTAGTATGAATTAAAATTCATTTGAATATTTAGGTTTTACAAATGTCAGTTTATATAACCCAAATGAATTATGCAATCATAAGTTTTATAACTGCTATTATTTTTATTAAGATATAAATTTATATTAAATATTATTTTACATACACTAGTTATCGAATATGATATAGATATCGATGCCGAATATACAAGGGTCGATGTGTATGTTCCAAATGATTAAAATTTAAGTATACCACATGAAATCAAACAGAATGAAGACATATCGAGTGTCTTACAAGAATAACACAAGGATGTTGCTCATTGTTAGAAGAAAACTGGTAGCTACTTTATGCTTTCTTGAATTCAATTAACAATAGTGGAAAGTTTAATTTGTTAGTATACATGCGGAATTTTCTTCCATACATAGTATAAATTAGGATGTTCAATCGATTAATTGAACAATAAGTGACTCTCGTTATAGTAATCTCTTGTTATAGTAAAGACTAATTAAAATCTTGATATAGTACAAAACAGTCTATAATAAATCCTCTCGTTATAGTAAATTTACTAACAACCCTCGATATAGTAAATTTTTGAAAATATTTACTAATAGTCCGGTTGCCTTTACTATAACAAGTCACTTGTATATATAACGATCATTAATTCGGATTGTAGATGTCTTCACGGATTATATTAAGGTTCTACATTAATAGTAAATTATATAGTTTTGAGTTACAAAAAATTCAAATATATACTATTCTCCTAGAGAACAAACCGTAAAAAAATGAGATTATCTTATAAAAATTATTAAGGTCTAGCATTTATAAAAAAATGGTCACAAACTCGCTAAGAAAAGTAAAATTATTATCGCTATATACATGTACATTGACTGTTGATCTTCATCGATTCATTATGACCCTAACGATAAATATTGCTAGTTTTGTGCCAAATTTTGTTAATTTGGTTTTATTTCATATTCTTGTTCTGTCGTGTATTGTCGTACTTCGGATGATAGTTGCTTCACGCGTATTGGTCATGCTTCGGACAGTAGTTGCTTCATGCATATTGGTTGTGCTTCAGACAGTATTTTTTCACGTATTATCATATTTCTGAACATTTGTACTTTGGATAGAATAATATTAATAATCCAATAAAAACATCCATCGTCGAATAATACATTTTCTTCCATATTCCTTGATATGCCTAAATATATATATATATATATATTTTATTTTTGTAAAGTTCAATTTTTTTAGCACATGAGGAAAAATATCAAGGCACTAATTTTCAGGAAATAGCAATTGTTCTTGACAACACTTCTTCCACTTTTCTGTCCAATATTTCCGCTAAATAATGTATACATGACAGTACACATCTATGTATATGCTGTGTGTGTGCTACTATGCATATATTAATATTCGTCAGTCTTTCTTCTAAGCTGAGTCCAATTTCAACAGGTATTCATATAGTTCGAAAGAATTCATGTATAGGATAAGGTGTGATTTTCATTTTTTTTGAAAAGAGAATAATAAAAGAATCTATTCTTGGAACCTATTTTATATTAAAATGTGAATGCGTCAACGCGTTAAAAATATTTGATGATGCTTGATAGATGTTTGATTGGGTCAAAACTCTATAATGATAACGGGAGCTTAAATTTATTTATTCTATTACAAGTGTTTGTTATTTATTAAAGTTCGTAATGCCTTCCCATATCTTAAATTATTTCTCTTCCACACAAAAACTGGATGTGGTATTGTTTTTTTAAAGTGAGTCACTCTAAGAAAATTGATATCAACATTTTGCCGTACATGTATAGTGCTCAAAGAATTTAGCAATTATACTATATATGAGAAATATGTAACATTGAAAGATGTAATATGGAAGAAATGTTGATTTGGAGAAAAAAACATGACTCTGCTCATGTGAATTCAGATTTGCACAACTCGAATTCTATTTTTATAATTTGATCTTAATTATTCGAGATATCCTACCCTTAACAATCAGATGGTTAGATACATGTACTGTTGCGTGCTACTATTTTATTCGGTCAAAGAGGGGTTTTTACGCAACTGGAATGAGAGCTAGACTGAATTATTTACGAGTAAAGGATTTCTTTGGATGTTCTAAAGGCTTCCCGTGGCGACTTGTACGCAAATCGACGTTAAAAAAGCAATAGTATAATAAAAAAGGGAATAATCCAAAAATCAATTTAATTAATGTAACACAATAGGACTTATTGGTACGGCCTATTTAACAAAACGATTCAATGAAAAACAATTCAACAGGACTTATTGATACGGCCTGAATAAAGGAAAATCAAAATAACAATAATATCAAGAAATACAATCGACGGCTTATT